CTCTTAGGTCCGGTATATTGGCCAGTGGTGTGGAGCGTATTATTGAACAGGTTGTGAATCCCAAAATCTTTCTGTTAATCAAGCCACGGATTGATGAAGTGATCTGTGAGCATTTGGGTTTGGATTTTAAGGAACGTCAAGACAAGCTTTTGCGAAAGAAACAGCAACAGCAAGCTTTGGCAGCAGCAGCAGCGGCAGCAGCAGCTGCCGCTGCTGCTGCGGCAGCTGCAAACACTGCTATCACAGGTGAGTTGCCAGTTAATTTTACTTAAAAGGATGGTAGCTATATTTATTGAGATTCTATATTGATTTAATCTTTAATTCTAGCTTGCATCTATCTGGTGCATATCATTTAAAGTTTATTAGCTGGTCTTAAAAATTTACCCTTTTTTTGCAGTTATGTAATCCAGTGAAATTTCATACTTATGTCAACAATAACAGATAAAATAAAAAGATTTATTTATTGTCTCTAATTATTGGCTCATAACAATTTTTCTTTTTAATTATTATTATCAATATTATCTAGAATTTCTTGATTATATGAAACATTCTCAACCCTTATTAACATTTTCACTGCTGCATTGTTATAGCATTGTTGCCTGGCTGTGCTGGCCCATTTTGCAACAAATAGAAAATTGCCATGAATATAAAGACCTCGATTTCTCATGGGTGCCGCCATTTTGATTTCAACCAGATACTCTGCTGTATAGACTAAGTAACACTCCACATTATAAAAATATGTCACAAAACAGGTCATATTGCATGTTGTCATGGGTCTACACTAGTTTGGAAATAGCATTAATTGCTAGCTACACAAAGTTTAGGGACTGACATTTCACAGTGTCTTGAAAACGTATATATATATGTGTTAACAGCAGGCAATGTAAGCTTTACAAAGACATATATAAGTAGGTCCATAGCAGTGGAAGTGTTAATATATGATGGCTTGAGTAATTGTGATGAAAAGTAACCAAAATCAAAATGAAAAAATAATAAAAGATAAAGATAATATTACAAATACTAGTGCATGTGAAGCATAACATCAAATATGGTGCTGAGCAATTTGGAGAAATAATATAGTGAGTTTATAGAATTAGATTTGATCCTTTGTTAGCTGTCAGGCTCCTGTAGCTCAAGTGGTAAAGCAGCTGTCATAGTCAAACAGGATTTCTGAAGCAAAAGGAAAGTTTTTGAGTTTTTGTGAGAGTTTATTCCTCATTTTTGTTTCCTGCTGTTTACTGTTGGCTATAGAATGAGAGTTTGAGTAGATTTGATGAAAAGCAATTTAAATTAAAATGAAAGAAATATTTGTTAAATTCAGTTACTGACACTTCTAGTCTATTTTTGAATTAATTTGTGTCTCATTATTTCAGGGCAAAATCCCTATGGAAGTTCACTCTTCCCCTACCAACAGGCTGGAGTCTGGCAACAGCAGTTGCAGATACGACAACAGCAGCAACCTGCGCAAGCCCAACAAGGACCTCAGACCACTCAGTCAGGAACGCAACAAAAATCCCTGTTGCCCTTCTCCCTTCCAGACACTAGTAAACCACCCCCTGGTGCATTCCCAAATCAGAACATTGCTGGCAGCAGTGGCTTTCAAGTCCCTCAAGTGCCCCCTGTCCCTCAGCAGCCGTACTCTCTGTTGCAGCAACAATCCACCTGGAATACTTCAACTGCAACCAGCACCACGTCAACAAGCACAACCAGCTTCCCGTCCGTTTATTCGCACACAATGCCACCTCCTAGTATCCCTCTGGCAGCTGGCCCCCCAGCTACACCTCCACCGCTCATGAGTTTCAATGCAGTACCCCCACTTGGAACAGGGAACAAATCCAGCATTACTAGCACATCCACTAATTTGCCCAACACAAGCATTAAAGAGAGTGGTTGTGCTTTATTAGCTACCCCGAATATGTCACCAGCAATTGCTCCTATAACTCTCCCCCCTATGAATGTCCCACCACCTGGTACTGCACCTGTACCACCTGCAGCATTGCAGCCACCTAATCTAGGTGCACCCCCTGCTCTTCCTCCTCCAGGTTTACCACCTTTGAATGTGCCCCCACCTTCAATTACAGATGTGTTATCCCGGCCTCCTCCTAGTTTACCTCCACCAACATTAGGACCATCCCTCACACAGCAAAGTGGCTCGAAACCACCCACTTTGTCTTCTGTTACAGCTCCTGAATCTCCTGTCAAGGGGCCTGTGAAAACACCCCTTTTACCAGATCCTATATTACCAAAAACCTTTAACAATCCGATAATGCCACCTCAACCACTTCAACAAGCTGTATCTCCAAATGTACCTGTTGTGTCACCTTTACTTCCACAGCCTGCCCTGCCACCAGTCCTCTCTCAGCCTACCCTGCCACCGAGCATTCCACAAACTGCAATATCTCAGTCATCAGTTCTGTCTAAAGAGCTTCCAAGCTCTAGTTCTGGAAATAGTGAGGAATACCAAATCTCACCATTACAGGAAAGTGAAACAGCTGAAGAAGCTGTTAGAATGCAAACAGAAATGCAAGAAATGGTAAAGGTGCCGAAAGAGGAATCTGGTGGCACAGGTCCTAAACTGGAAGACATTCCATTGCCTCATTTGCCATTTGTGGCACCTCCACTAGAGAAAGGCAGAGTAGAAGATGTTAAGAGCTACAAATATTCAGATGAGAAATTCTATGAGAATGCTGACCGAGAAGACAGTTCAAATGAAGAGAAATGTCTGGAAGGGTTTAGCTCTTCAGAAATAAATGTAAGCATCGATGCTGAACCTGCAGAAAAATCACGAACTTATAGTTTTTCCTGGAATAAAGAAACTGTAGATGGTGACTTGTCAGATGTCACAATCAGCTCGGTACACACAAGTGACTTATCATCTTTTGAAGAGGAAGGCATTTCAGAAGTGGAGATGGAGGAAAAAAATATCCAGAATTCTTTACCAAGCAAAGAGGAAATCATCAATGAAGGTAATGTTTAAAAATATCTTATTATAATTGTGCTTGTCTCTCCCTTTGTTAATTTACACGATAGTTAAGCCCTGGCAATGCTTCATAAATAAGGAACTATTCTGTTTTGATTGCGTGGAAAGAAGGGAGAAACACTACTTAGTGAGAAAATGAAAGAAAGAAAGGACGATAGAAATCAGATTAAGCTGATAAGAACAGATACTACACTTTGATCTTAGCCAAAATGTTGAAAACTCTCTGTGACAGTGATAAAAGCGCCATTTTTTTTTCATACGTACAGTATTGAATGAGGGAAACTGAATAAGGTAATTACTAAAAAACCAGTTGCTATAAATAAAATAACATTGTTGAATTATTTTAAAATTATTATTAAGAGAAATGTTCATAAGACAGGGATTTGGCTGGTTAAGTTTATTAGTTTAACCTGGGGAAATTCCATGGTGGTTGACAGTTAACATAATATATATTTGTATATTTCTTACTACTATAAACATTATTTTTAATTGGTACACGTGTTTGAGTTTACTGCTGTTATTTTTAAACAGTGAAATTAATGTCAACTGGTCTAGATCTAGAAATGTGCTTCCCAATAGGAATTGAACTGGCATCCCCTTTTTCCATCAGGAAAATTGGTCTTTTAGTTAAAGCATGCCTTATATGTATTTCTGCTTTAATAGCTTTATTCTATTAGTAATTACTAATAGAATAAAGCTATTATATTTATATTAAATATAAAGTCACTCAAAATGAATAAAAATAAGTAAGGTTGGTGGCTAGAGAGAAAGAGAGGGGAGAATGATAGACAGCTGAAACAGTCTGGTGTTGGTTGAACTATTTTTATTTAGGTCGGTCCTGTAATCTTCCACATTTACTATTTAGCATTCAACCTGCCTAAGCTTGCCATGTAAATATTGGCTCAATATTCAACCTATATATACTCTACTATAATATATGACTACATAATCGCAAATAACACAGGAAATCATGCAAATGATGAGATTTTGAGAGCCAGTATTTAAGTTAGATTACTTGTTGTGTTCAAAGATACATACAGTTGGCCATGGCTGAATATAGGCTTTAGAAGGAATGGAACTGCTTTATGATAAAAATATCATATTCACTGTATATAAATAAAAAACAAACATTATGGAATTTTAGAGTTATTCACTGAAATTAATATCCAAAATGAAATTAACTATTTGATAAAAATCAAAGTGATGATAGCCTTGTCATGTTATTTAATAGTGAATTTCATATGGGCACCCAGTAAGGATCAAACTCATTACTCAGTAATTATGGTTAACCAGACTAGCCTTACTAAGCATTACTTCATGCTGAGGTTAAACATACAATAATAATTCAAGCAAATTATTAATGTGGTTTTGCTATTTTAAAAGATTTTAGCACATCAATATTTTCTGTTAAAAAGAAACAAAAAAAATATAGGGTGTGGCACAAATACCCTCCACATAATGGTAAGACAGAAGTATTTTTGGAAGTTATTTCTGCCACACCATGTATAAGTGACTAACTCAAGTAATTATAGACAGAAAAAATTAAAAATCTCATAGAATTTATCATTTCAATTCATCCGACATCCACGTCCTGGGTAGGACGTTAAACTACATCCAGCAGTAAGGCCTCTGATCAGGAGGTTTTGAGGAGCATGGAACCACCTCTTAATTGCTGGTGTTCCCAGGTCCACTCTGGGAACACCAGCAAAAAAAAATTTTGAAAAAAATTATTACCATCAATACAATTTTGAAGGAAATATATTACCAGAAACAGATTTTTGATAAAACAAAATATTACCAGCAATAAAAATTTTTGTCAGCATTAAATAACCCATTGAGGTCGATATGCCATAAAACAAAATAAACCAAACCAATCTGAATCAAAGAATACATACTCTATTCATGCAAATCTATCCTAAAAATGTTGTCGGCATTAAATAACCCATTGAAGTTGATATGCCGTTAAACAAAATAAACCAAACCAATCATCCGATATTCAACAGCATAATGGTTGACTAATGGAAATGTCATTTGTCTGCCTCTCTCCATATTGGGGATTTGAATCACGGAAGGATTCATTTAACTCTAGGTTAGTATATTTAACTAGTGGTACACTGGCCTAATGGATTTGTCATTTGCCTGCTTATCTCCAGGTTAAGGATTTGAATTATAGCAAGATTCCTTTTTGTTGAATAAACTTCTTTTTTGATGCTTTCCCAAACACTACAATGTTAACCTCTTCAAAACTAGGATCAATTGTTATCTATCTGCCATATCCTCATAATTTTCAATTCATACATTCGCCTCTTATGTTTCTATCATCCATCTCATTCTCTCTCTACTTTGAGTGGCTCTTGGGCCACGTATTGGTTAAATGTCAATAAAAAATAAGAATAAATCTTTAATGTGACCACTGATAAAAAACTAACAGAAAAAAGTGACATAGGCTTTTATTGATATAATAAAAGAAACAACAATTGGTTGGTTGGCGGATTTTGTTTGCCAGTATATCAACACCTGTATGAGTTATTTAATGCAGAAATCAAAGTATTTTTTATATAATTTTAAGCTTTCAATGACCAATATTTTGTACATAATTTTATACTTTCAGAGTATGTTTTTTTACATCTATAGTTTGTAGATCACAAAATATATTGGTAATTTTACCAAAAAATATATTTTTGTATTTTTTAAGTGTTGCATTGATTATCATTTTGCAATAAAATCATATTGTTGCTCATTTTATTATAAAAATGTATTGTTGATTTTTGTTTGGGAATTCACTATTTGCCCATAGCAAGTGCTACCAACGCGGATCTGGGTGAACCTAGGAACAACAGCAATTAAGAAGTGGTTCCACACACTCCTCAAAACCTTCAATCTCCTGATTAGAGGCCTTGCTGCTAGATGTAGTTTATCATCATACCAACAACAATTGTATATGTAAACAAGCAGTATAGTACGATAGGTATTAGATTTTTTTTTTTTTTCAGTTAGCTGAAAGGAAGGGAATATGATACTAGTTTAATTTTTTCTAATCCCATAATATTTATATAAAGAAAAAGATTTCTCAGGAGGATTAACACCCTGATTTCTATCTGCTTAATAAAATCGTAAGTACTTGCAAAAAACCCAAAACAAAACATTTATCTCTTAGGTTATTTGTTGTTTCTTTATTTTCTTAATTTTTCTGTTTTGTGTTTGATGCAGAAAACAAGCCAGATGAGAATGTGATTGACCTTGGACCCTTGAAAGCAGGTAGAAAACCCAAACCTCCTCCAGCCAAACCACGGAAACTCATTTCATTATCATACAATTATTCTGACAGTGATGATGATGAGACACGAGAAGAACGTAAAGCTCGAATTGTAAGTATATTTGGACCCATTTGAATCGATATTCCTTATTTTAATTTATTCTGAGGTGATGATGATTATATATGTCTTTAGAAGACATGTTGAAATCTGTATAGAATAAATGTCATTGAAATTTCTAAAATTGACTGATTTGAGTAGAAAGCAACAAAGATATTGATATTCATAAGTAATCATAATGTTGTATCCTAATAAAGTAAAGATTACTTTTAACTTTTCTTGCATGGTCTTCTGCTCAATATATTTGCTCTTTGTTATTCCTAACCTGTTAGTTCGGCTTAGAATATATTGACTGCAGCATTCCTTCCTGACAGGTAAGACAACTGCCCATAAAAAGTGCCTCCTTCCATGAGAATACTTGCAGACTCTGGTATAGAGTGGGCCCCATGTCTGCCTTTCTGACTCTAGTTCAAACCAGACCTACATCCGCCTTTTTGATTCTCGTTCAAACTGAACTTAATCTGTCTTTTTGACTCAAAATTCGAAATGGATCTTTGTCTGCCTTTTTGACTCAAGTTCAAACCAGATGTACATCTACCTTTTTGACTCGAGTTCAAATATATTTCAAATAATATGAAATCATAAATTTGAACCATGTCTTAAATTATATCTTATTTGAAAATCATTCCTGTACTATCCAAATTCTTGGATCCCATTTAATTTAAATATCTTGGGCAGATTCCATAAAAGGTTGCAGGTATCAACATTTTTTTAGAAATCTTAAAGTTAGTGCTATGTAACCTTTTGTGAATCACACCCAGGAATCATTATGTCATATTTAAGAGTAATCTTTTTTTTTATTGTACACCAAAAAGGGATTCCAAAAGATATTTAATGTTTGGTCATCTGATTGGGTTTTTGGGATGTGGACTGGGCTTTGAACATTTCAGCACCCTTTCATTTTGATAATAGATTTAGAATATCTCAATGGAAAAATAGGCTATATGATGGGGTATTGAAAAAGTCTTTGGCTTAATCTACATCCCAAAATCTGACCGAAATTGGAATTTTTTTCTTCTTGAAGTGTTTCTTGTTTGAGCTAAGAACTTCTCAACACTGCACCTCTCTTTTTCTGCTGTACATAAGTTGACAATCATTCTATAACGTGCAAAGGATGCTTTGATAGCATTGCTACTGAATATAATTACAATGATTGGCTCATTGTTTTTATTGCTCATCTATGTCAGCATTTGTGTATTTAAAAGACTCATTGGTTGTTTGTTTCTTGTATTCATATAAAGTTCTTAACATTTTTTTTCGGAGATTTTATTCTGATAAACATGTTAAGATTTTTTGTCTTTTGGTCTTAGTGGTGTCCATCTGATGTTTAGTCTATTTTATTTTTTTTTTGTCATGTGCAGGCTCGCGAGAAAGAAGAACGGTATTTGCGTCGACAGCAAAGGCGAGCAGGTCTGGAAGCCAAGAGGAAAGACCGACAGGAAGTCAAGTCAAACAATGCCCAAGTTGAAATGGATAAACAAAACGAAATAACAGGTAGTTAAAGCCTTTTACTTTGAACTTGTTATATTTATCAAATACACTTGAAATTTTATTAATGGCTTATAGAAAATCTACAGTTGGAGAAACAAGAAGGCTGTAGGGTTTTCTTAGAAATAAAAAATAGGGTTTCATTAAGATGTTCATGGATAATCTAATTCTTGTATATAAATTAATTTCTTCATTATAGATAGAATTAAAACCCTGACCATGTAATGGTAAAAACAGCAGATTTGTTAATTGCTAATGAATAGACACTATAAGCTGAAATGTGCTAAAATAATAGAATCCTCTCAAAATACACATTAGGCAATATTTTACATTCGTGCCTGCAAAAAAACGATGTTTCAAAAGGACAGTTTTTGTGTTGACTCTGCTATTAGTTTAAACTACCAAGACTCACCTAGCAATACAGAGAGGCACGGTGGAGTAATGGATAGCAGCTCGGATTGAAGAATCTGTGAGCTGAGTTCAAATTCCAGTCAAATCCATTACATTCACTTACGTGCTAATACCCTTGGGAAAGGTATGAATTCTTTTCTTCTCCCCCCAACTATAGGTAAATAACAAGACAGATTGGTTTCTATTAGCCTTGGATGGCAACTGGTCTACCACAGAAAGAAATGGCAACCTCCTGTGAGAAAAAAAATCTGCCTCGTCAGCCATGTATCGAAAGATACATGATCGCCTAAGCATGTATCATGCATGGCACATAACTGACTGAAACCAGGTACAATGTGATATTTATTATTTACCATTTTATAATGATTTATTGTTTACCATTTTATAATGATTTATTATCATTTTATAAAGAAATAAGTTATCTTTTTATCCCCAAATTTATAAAAACCTACAAAATTTTTAACAATGTGTGTTCTTTGGAATGGTTTGCAAAACATTGGCAAATTGCTAATTGATTGGAACTTTATAAAATGGTAAATAATAAAGAACTCATTATGGTAAGTTCATAGGCAATCATAACTCTCCAAAGATACCTTTTCTTTATCTGTGAATTTACGCCATGACTTCTTGGGAAAGAGAGTGGAATAATTTACCGTTGCCTTCTCCATGATCTTGAATTCAGAGTTGCCCCTCTCCTAAACTGGACGCCATCCAAATCTTGAGAGCCCAGTCTACCCTGCTATTTAACCCATAGCTGAATGGGGAGAAGAGATCGGTTCATGACTTTCTCAAGGGCATCAGTGGAACTCAACTCATTGATTCCGCTATCAGCACCAATAGCCATTACACTACCAATACATGCATTATTTAGTACATTATAAAACTAATATGGGCACATGGCCAAGTGGTTAGAATGTTCACTTTCTGACCCTGAGACCTGGATTTGAATATCACCATGGTTGATTTGTCAGGAAGGTGATTTCTTGATGTTATTGATCTGGAGGAGGTGATCACAGTATGCATCATTTTTGGAAAGTGTCTGAAAACCATACCACTGGTTGACCCAAGTCTTGTGAGTGAAATTGGGTAGATTGAACCCTTTGAAAGCCGTTGATGGTTGTGCTAGCACAAAGTCAAATTATTGTGACTGAGGGTTTTAGCGTGCTAATCTTGTTCAGACCATTGATCACGCTAGATAACATGCTCTCTCCCAGAAACTGTAACTAAGGTCTGCTCAGCATAGTTGCAGTATAAACCATATGTGGCCTCTGTGGATGTTCAACAAATGTGTCTGAGCAGTCTTCTGCAATGGGGATTAGCTAGCCACTTTAGTAGACTAGCATCCTTGGATACGAGTGGCTGTGCCATTTATATAAAACTAATAGCCCATTTGATCAACTAAAATGTTTCTGTTATTGCATGTACTATCAAATCTGTTCATTTGTAGTCAATTTCTGAAGTAGGATGCATGCTTGTTAATAATGCAGTTGTTTTTTTGTGTAATTTTAAAGATACCATGCAGCCAACGGATGAGAGATTGACAGGAGCAGTGAAAGCCAATTCTGAAAATAAGGAAGTAGCTGCTGTTCCCCGTAAAAGATCAAAAGAACAAATGAAGGAAGAACTCCGAAGTCAGAAAGTAATGGAGAAGAGGCTTGCCTTGAGACGACGGAGAACTCGAAACAGACGGTACATGTCTGAAGAATTTACCTCTATCTTCACAGAGAAGAACCAAACCTTCTCGAGTCTTAGCTACCAAGAAGTTGGTGAGAGTCCACCCAGTTCCTCACCTGCTGCTGTTGCTGATCCATCAGGTTCAAATGAAACTGTTGAGATTGATACAAGTATCTCCCAGACTGTTGAGGTGGATGATAATTTCCCTAAATCCCCACCTACTCCGACACAAGATGAACATGATCCTGATATTTATGCCACAACGGCTTCTGAGGTTCTGATATCTGAACAGACCAGCATTCCTATCTATGAAATGGACACTTCCACAGCCTACACAGCTGCCCTGACATTAGGTCAAATGGATGAGAATATGCAATCGAAAGACTCTAACAACAAGAAAGCTGAAAAAACAAATGCTGCCAACAGTGACGAGGAGATGCCTGCCTCTTACACAGGGGTCCGGTGTACAAGTCCATATAGTGATATATCTGAGTCCTCAAAAGAGGATCTTATTGATCCTTTGCCTAAAGAGAAGAAACCTCTACGGAAAAAGATGGAGGAGAAACTTCCCAAATTAGAGAAATCCCCACGAAACCTTCCTGCTGAGCCATACAGTCGTCGACGTAGCAGCCATGGACATTATGACCATGAACCTGCTGAAAGGTGAGATACTTTTCTACTCAACTGATATGCTTTTCAATCATCTCCTGCCTATTTGTAACATAGTGTCAAACTTTTTAGCATTTGTAATTCTACACCATGATGATTAGAGAATATGCCTGTAAGCTTTGCAGTTTATACATATATCATGTTGAAACACTTGTTCTCATATGTTGGCTGAAGTTAAGCAACATCATGCCTGGTCACTACTTACATGGGTTACCAGTTGGGAATACTAGGTGCTGTAAGCTTGGATGTGTGGGTGATGTAATGGATAATGACTCGATATTGTTAATTGGAGAGCCGAGTTTCAATTCCAGTCGGGTTCGTTATATTCACTTACATGCAAATATCCTTGGGAAAGGTATGAATCCACTTCTTCTCCTCTCAGCTATGGGTTAATTAGTAAGACTTATATCACTAAATCATTATTATCTCAAAAAAATCCTTACAATCTAGAAATAAAATATTTTCTGACTTTAAATAACCAGCAAAGGGTTGATAAGCTGTAGAAAATAAATCAAAATCAATCAAATTTATGTTAACATTGTAGGATGAAGTATGTTAGAATTTTTGATAAAACAAAAAAAAATGTGAGAAAAATAAAACTTAAACTTTCTCTTCAGAGTGATATATTTACATCGGTCATCATATCTTAAGATTTAAATGAGTAAAATTCAGCTTTGAAAATTATTTTTTGCTAGCATATTTACAATAAAATAGAAAAAATTCTTTACTTTTATTCGATTTACCACACTTTCCTAGTGCTTATCAGTTTTTGACAGTGTCAAAACAATTTTGTTTCAGACCTCCTCCTCTTTTGCCTAAGTTAGCAGAGCCTGAGACAAGGAGCCGTTCTGGTCAACGTTACAATATTGAAGACCTTTACAAGCCAAGAATCAGTCACCGTCGAACATCTTCATCCAGTTCAGGGTAAGTCCTCAATAAAATGAGCACAACCAATCATGGTGGATTGGCAAAAATATCTGAAGTGCTTGGGGGGGGGCGAGTGGGGGTTGTGCTCAATCTCTTCTAGAGTTTAAGGTTTAAACATTTTTCTGTTTTGGGAAGTTCTTTATGACACTTTTTCTGCTGATGGCATTTTAAGGCCTTTCAATTAATTGACAAAACATAATGCATGGATTATCCAGAAAGTTCATGCTGATTTTTAAAGGAAAGTAAAACACAAAATAAAATTATACCATTGAATATTTATTCAACTATGAACTATTTTGTTGCACAACCTTTTTCCATTTTTCTTTCAACTTTAAAGATTCCATCTTCCCAACATTTTGGTGGTTTCTTGGCAAAGAACTTATTAAGGTGGTTTTTTATGTCATCCAAAGAATTAAAATTTTTACCATTCAGATTATTTTGCAAGGACCTGAATAAATACAAATTTGAAGGAGCAATGTCTGGTGAATATGGCGGATGGGGTAACACATATCAGCCAAGCTGAAACAATCTTTGCCCAGTCACCAAATAAAAGTGAGGTCTGACATTATCCTGATGGAAAACAACACCTTTCTTGTTTGCCAATTCTGGGCATTTTTCTTGAATTGCTGCCCTTAATTTGTCCAGTTGTAATCAGTACTTTTCAGAATCAATTGACTGCTTACTTGGCAGAAGCTCTTAGTACAGGATTCCTTTCCAATCCCACTGGATGAACAGCATGAATTTCTTAGGATGAACACCTGCTTTTGAGGTGGCTAAAGTTGGCTCATGTCGCTTACCACAGGATCTTTTTTGCTGAACATTGTTGTAAATAATCCATTTTTCATCATCTGTCAAAATTTGCTTAAAAAAGGGCGCATTTTTACAGCAAATCACAGATGAAATGTGATCTAAAAGATTCTTTTCAGTGGTACCCAATGTACCCAAACATCGTAATAATTAGTATACCCAAGCTTCAGTAAATGCTCATGGATGGTGGAGTTTGATAAATTTAATTTTTCTGCCAATTCTTGCATTATGTAATGTGGGTTATTCTCAATCAATGTCTTCATTTAGTTGTCTCTGTAGTGGGGGGGATCTGCCTGAGCATTCTTCATCAATAAGGCTACAATCACCAACTCTAAACTTAGTGAACCACTTCTGTGCAGTTCTATCAGCTAAGGCACCATCACTGTACACAGCACATATCTTTTTTTTGTTGCTTGTGAGGCATTTTTGCCTTTACAATAAAAAAAAAAAAGCATCAAATGTCTAAAATGCACCTTATAATGTTCCATTTTCATAGGGATGTAAAGTTGACACGAATTAAGTAATTTTAAACTTTCTTTCTCAAAAGATACTTTGAAGTGTGCTCTAGTTGAAAATGTAAGCATATTATATCTGTTGATAAATTTGGTGTGCTCTAACATATTGGAACATGAACGACTAAAAATTGGCATGAACTTTCTGGACAACCCAATATTTTGATGTTGAAAAAAGATTTTAAATATCAAGATTTTTATATATTTATTATTATAAAATCAAATGTCAAATAAGACATATTTTATTTTAGAATTATTTGTTCACTGATTTTATTTGATATTTGTTTATACATGTATAATGAAGGTTATGAAAACCCCTTTTACAATTTATGTAGAATATTTAAATCTTGTGTCATAATTTAAAACTAAAGTTAATATCTATTTAAAATGGTTGAAGATTAAGAAAATCTTTCACTTTCTGTGGATTGGGCAACAGATTTTGAAATGCAAAACACTTAAAGATGATACATGTTTTCCTTTTAAAAGTAATGAAATTCTCTGCTATAAAATAATTCTGATTTTCTAATGTTTATACTTGTAGCATTGAAATTAGTCCCTATTATGTATATAAATTTGGCTGTTTTAAGTTAACACTTTAAAACCCATTTTTTTTTTTTTTAAGAAAATGTTGTTGAATGTAAGAAATGAATTTTTCAGTTCATTGAAAAATATGCAATTTTTCTCTTACCCTCTTGTACTTAGGAACTGTAGGTGCCAATGTAATTGGTGATTTACTGCCAATCGTTCCATACAGTTTTTTAATGTGTTCAATAATATTGTGTATCAAGGAAGGCTACAGATCAGTAAAAATGATGGAACTTGCTTGATTAAAATTTTCCAAAGTGAAGATAATTGATATTGTCTTTCTTATTCTATGAACAATACATTACAGAATAATTGTCTTGTAAAAACTGACTTGAAAGATTTCTCTTCTTGGTGGAGATTTTAAGACTGTAAATAAAATGATTATTTTAATATGACAAAGAGTGGAGCAAAGTTATTACTGTCAGCCACATAGCATAAACTGATGAAAGGAGCTTCACCTGAAATCTAATGCCCGTAAATTAGTGTTTATTAATAAATAGGTGATATATTGAGTGAATCATAAAAGTTCCAAAAGCCTATATTTATAAAGTTTATATTTAATCACTCTCATCGGAGTTTGTTTATTAAATTTCATAGTCAGCTTGTTTATATTTATAGTGTTACAATCATTTAATCATATGATAGATTTATTGATTATCACAACTTGTAATTTTCAAAGGGCTCACTTCCTGTGTTTCAGAATGAAGAGGGAATAGGGAAAATAAGAGTGTTCTTTGTTAATAGTCTTTTGGCTGTTGATCTATACCAGTGGTTCTCAACCATTTTTTACCAATGAATCACTTTTACTCTTAATTTTTTTGGGGGGGTAGGCCTCCATAATCATTCAATGAAAAAAGGCTTATTTTATTTTTTACTAATAAATAAGTTTAGGAATTGTATTATAGAAATAGTAAATGTATATGCTTTATTTTGAAGTAAAACTAATTTAATGAAAATAAACTTATATTTAACAATTAAATTCTGTGTGCCGTTTATGTAAAACTAGTAAAATAACTCAATAAACCATTTTAAAATGGACCCCTGTGGACACCAGTAATGTTACATGGACCCCAGTCGAGAACCACTGATCTGTTTAGAGTTTTCAAGTTACGTCTTATTTGCTAGCTAATATTTCATTATTTTAGTGGAAAAATGTTTTTAAGAGAAATATATTGATCATTTGGTAATTGGTAAGAAATTTTCTGGGGAATAACAATCTTCTTTCCCTTTGATTTTTTTTCTTCTTTTTTTGCTGCTTATTTGACATGTTTTTAAGCTTGGTTGTGTTCTTTTTTTAATCATTTCACACCATGCACAACAATAAAGCCACTAAGATGCAAGGGGTTACTGAGCATGAAAGAATAAAAGTAAAAGATCATTAAGGAGAGAAAACAATAAAAAAAAATAAAACAGGAATTAAGAAGACAAAAGTTAATGATTGACAATGCATTTAGATGTTTTAAATTTGACGGGAAAGTAAGAAGCCAGAAGAGCTCCATAAGTAACAGTTAACATAGAACTTACAGTTACATCTAGCCATTTCAACTGCAAAAATGATGAGACCTAACTGCCAATCTAGTACTATACTTAAATTCATGAAGTCAAGGTACCAAAGAGGAAAGCTCATCAGAACAATTGCCATGAACATGTTTATAGAAAAGGCACAATCATATTTGTTTATGGATGTTCATAAACATTTTACTCTAGTGTTATAATTGTTTTGAGCTGAGACTCTTTTCACTTAAATTTAGTTTCTGTCTGCTTTTTCTAAGTTATCAGTCTTGTTGCACTGATAGAATTATAGCCCATGCTCCACCATCAAACCATTTTTTTTTTTATTTCTGCAGTCAACTTGGCAGACATTTATTAGGGACCGAGCCCCAGTGGAGGTGAGATACATGTTCATTGAAGGTGTTGTCCTTGTTTTAATTTGCATCCACCTTTTTTATTTGATGTAGAAAGAAAGAGTTTGTTTCTTTACCTTATAGACTCATTGAACAATTGGCTTTACATGTCATATAACCAAAGGTTCATTGGAGTCTCGCCTGTGTTGTCTAATTGTTATTTTCTGTTCCCTTTCAATTATTGTTTTTGTTGCTTTGTGCAGATCACTGCTCTTTCAACTCCAAACAATCCATTTTGTCTTTCACAAAATAGCCTTGAAATAGTAAAAAAGAAAAAAAAAACTTCCTAATCTGATGACATTTTTTTGTTTTATTTCTGTTGTTTGTTTTGTATTTTTACAAAGTATATTAATTAACATTTTATTTCAGATTTGGGGGATATTTTCTATGCCAAGTTCTTGAAATTAAACATTCAAAACATTTTTAGATTATTGAGTTGAAACTCTTGTCATTAATATTTTCACATTTGTGTTTGATAGTTACATAAAATATTTTCTTTTTGAGAAAAGACCAACTCAAAATTGGGAAGATAATATTTACACAGTAAATCCTAACAATCTTTAAATAATCCCTATTTTAATTTGCTAAATCATATACTAAAATTTATTGGTATGAAAATAACCTTGCAATTCTTGTTATTAAGTAAGAATAGTTAATATTGAATTCTGATAGTCACATTATTTTGTAAAAGTTTAATTCTTGCTCAGAAGACTGTTGAAGGGTAAATGAATTCTAACCTTAATTTTGATCTTACTATTATCAATTATGTATCTTATTGAGTGTTAATGTGTGATTATTTGAAGATTCATTGACTTTGGAACCAGTCAAAATATTTTAAACATTTATTTTTTTCTCTTTTACTTCCCAAATATTTAATTCTGTTGACGGATGTTTATATCTTACCCTTTTTTACTTTTATCATTTTTCATTATGTCTGAACCATTTTGATGACTTATAATCCCAAACTGGCATCATTAAATTACTTATTTGATTACTGTGCTTTGTAATATGTTCATAGGAAATCAAAGGTTAATTAATCCCAGGATTTTAATTTTAAAATTGAATTTATATTGTCTACTTGTTTAGGAGTAAGTAAAATTTGAGAATTGTTAATTTGTATTCAGTTTTGTACACTGAAAATTGTTGCCTGTTTATATTTTGTTCATTTAGAATGAACGATAATTAAATAACTTATGTTGGTTGTTATATGTTTTATTTAATGTTATTTTGTTTGCTACAAAAATGAGTCTTTAGATGAGATGTATTCAATAACAATATGTTAAAAATGAACTTCGATCTGTTTTTCATTTCTACTCAAAAAAATCCAAACTTTGTTCATCTTTCTGGTTTTGTATTCATAAATGAAATCCTGTATTTAAGATTCTTGCTTTACAATTTAAAGAATATACTCTTATGTAATGTCAATTTTTATTTAAGAACCTATTTTGTATTTACAATCTGGTTTCTAGCAAAATGTTTTGCTCTGCAACCAGTATCAACATTTGTTTATTCAGAATATTTGGTAATATGCTTAATATGCATTTTATCTTTCAATATTTTTGATTTTTGTTTTTATTTTTGATTTGTTTATATTTCCATGGATTAATTCAATCTTTCTGCTTGAACATTCTTTTCTTTAAAACTAAATTTGTCTTTTAAAGCTGCTTTTTTTTTTTTTTATTTCTATTAAAAAGTCAACTTTGTTCATCATTTAAGTTTTTGCACATTTTATCTGTTTGTAAATCTTGTGTAAATAGGGTTGATTGCGAAAATAGTTCTGAATGGAGTTTTAAGTGTTTTTCTTTTTCTTTTTTGAAAATGTAAAAAAGATGGAGGACTTTGGCTGTTTCTGGTTTTCATGTTTTAATCTGATAACGAATAATTCTCACATACTTTTATGTTTCTGTACAGTTTATTAAAAATTATTTCACCATAGAATATCATTAAATGTTGGATATTGTGTTTAGTTCTTGTTGGGAGAGTTAGACAGTGGTGAAAGGGAGAATTGCTAATTGTGTTCATCTTGTGGTGACTGGCTATTTAGAATATTCACATTAATATCATTAGCAGTTATTTTTAAACTCACTGCTATCTTCAAATAGTCATTTGTACAAGTAATGTCCATGTTCGGTATTGCTTTAAGTGCTGATATGACAAGATTCTTGTTTTTAATATAATCTATGTATGAAAACTGATAATATAAACTCTTGACTATAGTATTGTAGTAGATTTCAGATTCCTTTTCATAGAAATATCATGAAATGCAATTTTATATTCTGACTTAAAAATTTTTCTTAGTGAAACTGCTAAGAAAATAAAATTCTTGCCAAATAAAAATTTCTAAAATTCTACATTTCCATATTTTATTAAATTTCTATTATTATAGATAATTTTATTCAGATTGACAATATCCTCAAAGAACAAGACAGATTGACATCAGAATTCATGTAAAGATATTATTTAAAAATTTAAATTGTTACTATGTAGTTTTAATGAAATCTTTCATTTTTAACTATTGTAAGCCCTTTTATTGTGGGAGGCACTGGATGAGTTGACACATAAAGAGTGATTTTATTTCATTCAAAACACTTGGTGGCCTAGAAGAATTCTTCAAAGATTTCTATACCAGCCAATCATTTTCATGGAAGAGTGGATCTGTGGCCATTTTATTTTCAACAAAAATCATGTGTGACAGAAATCTTTCTCCTTACAGAGAAAGAAAACTTCAATGGAAAAAGGTTAAAAAAAAACAAAAACAACAACAACAACAAAGACTCCAGCTTTGCCCCTCACAAAAATAAAACAAGATCTGCCTGGCTCGATACAAGAGAAATGTCATTCAGAGATTGATATTGTCAAGTGGGATTCAACTGGTCATCCAGTTTGAGTCCATAAAACTGATAGTTAATTATTGATTGCTTATATCTGAAAAGAGATCAATTTTTTTCTTTTTAACTGAATTATGCAAACTGCTTATCTATATCATGCCATATAAAACATTAAAAACCTGCATCAGCGATGTGTAGATATCTTGGTATTCATTATTAAGACTAAAAATCTCATCTGATTTTTTTTTTGCTTGGTATGCATTTCAGGCAACATGGCTATGTGTTGTTATTTGCAGATGACCAAGTTATTAGAAAGATGACAAACTTTGGAGGCTGACCATTCACTCATTTCCCCAGTGTGATGTCATTTCTGAGTTTGTTCATTACAAAAGTGAGCTTATCTCCTGTTAAATTAAAAGATCTTGAAGACTAATGCATCAGTGCTATCACTTTCACTCTGCCAACATCCTGATATGCCAGTGATATGATGATGATGGCAGAAAGAATAAGAACATTGGAGTCATATCTCCTATAAAAGTCATTTACCAAAAAATTTACATTTGGTTTGCATTTTATATTGCTATTAGTGGCACTTCCCAGAGTTGAGATATTTTAGTCTGAACACGTTAATGAATGTAAAGAGGATCTGTTAAAAAAAACAAAACAAAAACTGGTTTTATTTCTTCTTACTTTTATAAGAATATAAATTCTAAAAGAAAGGCTAGTTTGTCATTTCTTTCAACAAATATCCCATTTTTGCAGTCACCTGATTGAAGCAGTTGAACACTGAGATTATTTCCAGAAACAGCCTCCAAGCAAATGATTGGTTATGGAAGTTCATTACATGCAGTTTTAGTCTCTCTCTCTGCTTTAATGATCCTCCTTTATTTGCTTATTTCCAATAAACACATCTCACTGCCAATCAACCTTTCAATCTTTTTTTATGGTTGGAATTTGTGTCTTCCAGACGGTATGGCCAGTCTGAGCGACGGCACAGCTCACAACGCTATGGTGGCAGTGAAGCTGTTGGGGTTAGTGGTGCCAGCAGCAGTGGTATTGGTGGTGTTGCCAGTGGACTTAGCAGCAGTGGCAGTACAGTTGGTGGAGGCAGTTATAAAGGTCACCCAGTGAGCAGCAATTTGGCTGGTTCAGTGAGACGTCATCACTTATCATCACCCCCTTCACCTCCTTTGGAATGCAGAGGGCGACCTGCTTTACCAACAGCACGCGGAGGACCATTACTCCATGACAAACACAAGCTGAGAGACCAAGATTTCATTGGTGGCAGCAGCGGAAATACCAGCAGTGTTGGCAGCGGAAGTGGAGGCACCGGCAGCAGTACAAGTGGCAGCGGGGGCGGTACATCTGGGGATGAATCGAAACCGTTCATGACAGACAAGGAGAAGATGCGGGCAGATTTACTAGCAGCAGAGAGCAAGCTGTTGAAGCAGAAGGCAAAGTTAACTGCTATGACAGAGTCCAAAATGAGGTGAGGACTTGTGTAGTAGATGTAATAATTTCTGTGCTTTGTGTGCCAAATTGTACCTTTTGCCTTTCAAAAATCCTTAAAAGATGATGCACAAAAATAAAAGAGTATAAGCAAAACCTGAAAAGGTGATCATTTTCTCTGAAAATTTACATTTGGCAAGAGAATTATGAAATTGAAAAAGTGCCAGGAATAAATTTAACATAATTCTAACTTATTCTGTGAATTAAAGAACTTCTGAGAGTGATGCTGTTTTCAAATTGAATTATTAGACCAGTCACTGGCCTTCATGCTTAACTCATGCACATATACACACTATGCATATTTAAGATGTCAGTTAGTGTACATAAACTAAACATTATTAAAAACTATCCTGTTATGGGCATTGCATGTTGATCATGATAACCTTGAGATGTCTTTGTAATGTGAGCATTTGTTATCAGTTTTATTGGGTGATAAATTGATTTTGAGAGAGAAGGCAAGGTTGTTGGGAGAATCAGTTGGCTGAATGGCTATATCGGAGTTGATATTATATGATTTACAGATAGCAAGTTTAAAACAATTCGTTGCAGGTCACTTGTGTTCACCAAATCCTTCCAAAGTCAGCCACTTTAAGTAGGACTTGAGTGAAAAAATATTTCAAAGACAAACTGATGTATAGAGTTAGAATTCTTAACTGCAAAGATTTTGGAAATTGAAATTTTGGTTTCATTGAATAACGTTGACTTTTTTTTTTTTTTTACTGATTCTTTTCCTTTTGGTTTTCAATATCTCAAAAGGATTTTGCAAATCACTTTGAAAAAAAAATGATTTAAATATAGTGTAATCTATATTTAGTGTACATAAATTTTTTTATCCTAAATTCTTTTTTTATCCACTCTGAAAATAAATGTGTGTGTGTATATGTGCATATATAAATAAATAATAGTTTTTTGGTCTTTTTCCAAGTGTTCACATAGCTATACTGATGTAAGGAACAATTCAATTATTGTAATTACAATGTAAGAAGCAATGGCATTACTCCAGAGTAATATAAATTTTGAATGCAAGTTTTGTGTGTAAGTAACTCAGTCTAGCTTGATTAGCTCCCTACATATTTTTTTAAAAGTTCTTTTATAAACTTTTAAATAATTTTGTTTCATCATTATTTAACTTAGAGACATATTTGAAGAATGAAATAATAAATTTGTAGACTGGTCCTAATGAAAATATTACATATAAACTAGTAGCAAGTTTTTATTTCCTAGCGATTAAATTTTTTGATGATAGCCATTTGCTTCTGGATGTTTTAATACAAAAATATTTCTTTCATCATTTTCATTTTTTTTTTTTTTTTGTAATAATGTAGAGCAGTGTTTCCCAAACAGTGTGGTGTGCCTCATAGCTGTGGTGGAAGAAGATAGCAATTGAGGTGGAATAATTGAAAAACAATCAAAGATTTAAAAACAGTTTCAAAAAATTCATCTGCCAAAAATAAATATATCAAAATTTAAAATATTACAGATTACTTGTAATTGCATGCGTGAGTCCCAGTATAAATAGTTATAAATAATTATTAATCGATTTTATCATTGTGATATTTTTGCATTATATCAAGTATTAAGAATATAGTAACTAGGGTCTGCAAATTGGAGGAGAGAGTTATTAATGATAATGTTCTGACTTTGAATCTGCAGTTATCTCCCTTTAACCCTCACTCTGGACCTTCCTTGCTGTAGGGCTGCTTGCACCTTTTCACTGGGACTTCTTTTTGGTAAAGTGCAAGCAACTGTTCTTTCTGAAAATGCTACTCAGAAAAAAAAAAGGTTTGGGAACAACTGATGCAGAGGAATGAAAATGAAAGCCACAAAATAATTAAAATAAAAGCTTAAAGGAAGAACAGGTCAATGTTTGAATATAATCATATAGCAAAAAAATTGATTTTTTTTAAATTTTTTTTGTTTATATTATGTTGGAAAGAAAATCCTGTTGTTTTTTGTTGAGATATAGATTTGATTTATATTAAATAATAAAAATCAGCTTAATAGTTTCTTTTATTTTCAGTGACATAATCTCATCAACCAGGTAAGATATTCAGGTATAAAATTCTGTGTTTCAAGGCAAAGAATATCTGTGTGTCTTTTGTAACCTTTTCATGGTTACTGTTCTATAACAATCTGGAAAGGAAATAATTCAACAGAACAAGGCCAAGAGAGAGAGTAAAGGAGATGAAGTAGAATTTCCATTTTCAGAGCCCAAATCTTTTTATACAACATGAGTTCTTGTGATATCATGCAAAAGTAACACATCATTCTGTTAAGTTAATGAAGCTTTTCTGGTTGGTGGCATTTGACTGTTTCATTACAATCCAGTTCTTCATGACAATCAACACACAACATATCCACCTCCTCAGAGATGACAATCAACACACAACATATCCCCTCCTCAGAGATTAATCTGAGTTTCATTACAGATACAAATTTTGTTTTGTAACCATTATCTCATTTGCTGGATATCATTACTAGTAATGATCCTTTCCAGAAATGGTTTGTTAGTGTGTTTTGTCTTTATTGACAAACAAATGTTGACTCAAGTTTGGTCACTTTATTCATCTCATGATCATGGCTTATGATTATTTGTATGAATTTATGTTGATTGATTTTGCCATTTCTTTTGCTGTCAGCTTAGAATTTTCTTCAGTTAGGTTAGGAGTGTTTGAATTTTGATTGAACCCAATCCAGAACAAGGAAAATCTTTGAAGATAAGATTCCCAGACTGGAACTGACATTTCCTGACACTAAAGACTTTATTTCAATCATTATCATCATTTATTCAGTTAGCACATTTTGTTCCACAGTGGTCACCTCTCACAATTGTGGTTCATTCAAGGCAAAGTAGTGAAATGGCTTGTCGGTTACTTTTGCACTGGGGATATTGAGGTTACCCCATCCCTCCTCTCAGAAGTTAAAGAAGCAGGGCCTACATGGCAGCAGCAGGTTTCAATTCAGTTTTCTTTTTCCTAGACTGGTTGCCAACCAAGGTTATATTGCCCAGTCTGCCCTGCTATTTACACATAGCTAGGAGTGGGAAGAGATGGATTTATACCTTTCCCAAGGGTATTAGCATGTAAGTGAATGTAATGAACTCAACTGGAATTTGAACTTGGCTCTCCAATTCCTCAATCCGAGCTGTTATCCATTATTTCACCATGCCTTCATTATTTTTTTTTATTTGTCTATTTATTTCAAGAGACAATGCAAATATTCCTCACTGTTTTTGAAGCTGATAAATTTATTTGGAACTTTTAGGGCAGGAAGTGTGTGAAATGAGTGTCATTTATTATCATATTAATAGGTTACATCATTTCAAAGATTATTCAACTTGATATTAAAGTGATTAGAAAAACAAGTGACAGAATTTTCTTTCCAACCTAATCTGATATCTTTTCATCTATAATTAATGTTGCTCAAAAGTTTAGTATCCAGCAAGCTTATGACACCCAGGGGGATTTAAATTTTATTATTAATAATTTTTTTTTTCCTGTGTTTGTCAGTTTTATTTTCTGTGATTTAAGAGATATCAAAGAATGTTGCCAATAAGAAAACATTTTGCTAAATGGTAATGTCTGGACATTTGTAGATTTATCTCAATATTGTGTTTGTATCTCATTTGTATTGTTTTTCATCTTTTAGGAAATAATTCTGTGATTCATTTCTCTGCTACAATCTCTGCTCTTTCAAAATGTCTTCCTTATAAATATTAGAAAAACAAAATCAAAAGCTGTCCCTTTCTTTTCCTTCCAAAAAGAGGATTCAATCAGCATCTCTTCAGGCATCATGTTTTACATATGCAACTTATTTAGGCTGGAGTTTAAAATTGTGTTTTTTGCATTCAGCTGAAAGTTTTAATTTGCATGAAATTTTTATATTTTTTTTTAAAACAATGAAGCAAGTCTTTGTGCTCTCTAAAACCCATTTTTTGATTGTATCTCTTAGATGTTTTAATGTGCATATTCTCCAATTGTTTCTGGGTGAAAGAATGTAAATTAGAGACTTAAAAACTCTCTTTATCTATCAACCATTTCAATCTGTCTTTGCATTTATTCACTGAAATGTTTCAGAGAACAATTTGTGAACATGCATTTAGATGTATATTCTACACTACACTATTTTCTCTCTTTGCACCAAGCAGGCAAGTTATTAATGCTTCAGGCATAGAGGGTGCAGAAAAATTCTTGACCCAACTCTTCTCAAAATCTGATCACATGACTAAACATTGGAATTTATTTTAGAATCTCTTCTTGGTTGTAGTGATAACTTTTCAGCACACCCTTGTGTGTGTGTGTGTGTGTGTATATACATACATATAATATACATGACTGGAAGCAGCATTAAAGAGTATTGATTGTAGTGATGTTTGATTTAACTTTAAATGTAATTTTCATATCAACTTCTGAATTTAAGTATTTTTTTATATCTCGAATAATACTTTTTAGAAATGAAATGGACAAATACTTTGATCTTTGCTTGGAAAAAGGATTTCATATTAGAATTAATGAATTAGGAAGCGATAAGAGAGAAAATTATTTTATCTCTTAGATTACTTCTTGATATGACTTATTTAAGTACACAAAACTCATTGTGTGTGTGTGCTTTGCATAGAGTAAATATTGTGAATAATGATGTGTTCAGTTTTTCACTATTTTTCTTGTTTGTACCTGTCTAATAATAATTTACACTTGTTCACTTTGCTTAGTCTACACTTGCATGTCATGAATTTATATTTTGATAATTTTAATAAGAGTCTATGCTAACATGTTGGTACTCTATCATATTGAAAATGGATTAATTGATTATTGGATTGGTATTTTTTTAAAGCAACTGTGATGTTGCAAATACAATTAAGTGTAGTAGAATCCAAGATTTTATGTCAAAGAACATGGTAATACGTGTGGCTGCAATTTGTGTAGCCTTTCTGTAAAAAAGAAAATCAACTGACTTTACAGTTCTATCACGCATGATCCT